AAGAAGTGTGTGCTTTCTAGGACTTTTGGGGTAGTAGTGCTTCGCATCCATGGGCATAACCAGGGGTATGCCTGTGCCTACCCAGATTGATCACAGGCCTACCCAATCAAGTGGGGGAAAATATTTATTATATTTAATATAAGAATTAGAATTTGGCCAGGTATGCTTACACATACAAGGAATTTGGTTTTGGTTACAGGAGCTCACAGTGCACAGTATCAGATAAACACTTACATGTAGTAAATAAAATAAAATAAAACATGCATTCCTACCATCACTCGCTCACACACACACACACACACACACACACACACACACACACACACACACACACACACACAGTCATACCTGTAAACCTTACATTGTGCAAAGTATGTGTCTTAAGTTAAAGTGCTGAGTGCAGCAGCAGTTAAAGGGTGTATAGTGGCAAAGGAAGAAAGGGATAAGTATGGTAAAAGTCAGATAAGTGGGGTAATAAAGCAGGTAGCAAGATGCTAGAAGAAACACTGGTCTGTGACGGTAGTTTCAGAGAATGGAATGTTGAGTGTGAAACTATATACCAGTATATTTACAAGTGCAGTTTAGAAGCTGGAATATTGTTTATGTGTAATATTTTAATTGTTCAAGAGAGTGATGGCTTGTGGGAAGAAGCTTCTCTGTAGCCTGGATGGGGGAAGGAGCTGGAACAGGTGGTGTCCGGGGTGTGACGAGTCAGTGGAGATTTTCTCTGCACGCTTCCTGGATCTGGAGGCATGCAGTTCCAGCAATGTGGGCAACTTAACCCCAACTGTCCTCTCTGCAGACATGATTATGTGCTACAGTCTGTGGAGGTCATGCTTGTTGGCTGAGCTACCCCACGTGATGGACGTGGTGAAGACAGACTCTATGATGGCTGTGTAGAACCGCACCATCAGCTCCTGGGGCAGATTGAACTTCCTCAGCTGACGCAGGAAGTACATCCTCTGCTGGGCTCTCTTGATGATGGAGCTGATGTTGCTGTCCCATTTCAGGTCCCTGGTGATTGTTGTGCCCAGGAACTTGCAGGACTCTACTGCCATCACAGTTCTGTCCAGGATGGTGAATGCTGGCAGGGTTGGAAGGCTCCCCCTGAAGTCCACTGTCATCTCCACTGTAATATTTATTATTTGTAGTGAAATCTGGTTTGTTTTCTGTGAGCAGTGTCGCAGTACTATGACAATGTGGTACATAGCGTGCTTGGAAATTGTATATACCAAGTTGGCCTACTCACTTTCTCACAGTCCTACCTGAACATTTATTTCTACCTATGTGCACTGAAGACAACCAGTAAATGGTCTCCTCCTTTATAATGTGTCTGATGTCAAAGTGGTCATGGTACATGTGGCCGTTGTTTTTTTTTTTCTAATTGACCTGTTGCTTCCTTGCTGAATAGGTTATTCTGAGCACATTTTCTCTTTTCCTCTCAGCTCCACCCTTCTCTCCTCTTTATCTTTCTTTCTTTCTTTTATGTTGTCAACACAAATTGCGCAGCTGTAGTCGAGCTGATTACCTAAGCTATCTGGCCAGCTAGCTAGTTCTAATTCTACTGCACATTACTATTTGTGTTTATTACTTGAGTACCTTTTTATGACGTGCTTTAAAAAGTCATTTTAGACCAATCACCTGATAGACTGTGGTACAGAAAGGCAGGACTGTAAGAGTGTTATATCTGATAGATGTAAATGTTCCTTTAGCATAATGCGTAGTGTTCCACAATACATTAATGTCAACAACAGCAGTGGTTCTCAGGCCTTGCCTGCTTAGTTAATTATTTTCCATGCTCTAATGCACGTAGTTCAGTTTAGGAACAAATTGATTATTAACATAGCTGATGCGGTGAACTATGTGAGGTCTGTGCTGGGACAATACTAAAAAAGTTTTGTTTCCGCAGGGAAAACAGTGAAATGTGCAGTGTACTCCAGGGCCAAGAACACACTGTATTACAGCTACACTGCAAATATTATCCAGACTATAATATAGGACATATATTAAGGCATACAATATTTCTTAGAGAAATCAGGGTTTTCAGATTCAGTGCAAGAAGTTATATCTACTTTCATTGATGAATACATTTTGGCAATGCTGTAGAGCTGAAGTCATGTCTTCATAGTGAGTTTGGAATCCATGTTTGTGTACTGGTGATCTGAGTTTAGTATCCAAAACAGACATGTTTTTCGTATGATGCTGGTAGTGCTTTATGCAATGCATGGGAGAATCTGCAGAGACCACTCAAATTTTTACTACACTGGTAGGGTATGATTTCATTAGCTTGCACTTATATGCTGGAAATGCAAGCTCCTCTACGACCATGACATTATTTCCACTATATTTCTGTTTGTTCTCATCACTTTGATACAGTGTGGTCTTTGTCTATCTTTTTATAAGAATTTGTCCCTGGACTGTATAGGTTTTTATGTCTTTTTTTAGGAACCAGTAATCTGGCTTTTCTGTCATTGAGACATCACATTGTTTTGCATCCTATGGTTAACTCTCCGCAGTCGAGATGGTGTATTCTACTCTTCATGGTAGCCTTTGACACATCTGGGTCTACATCCTGAAAAGTGATCTTGTTCTTTTCAACAGTTTTTCTTCATGACTGAAAGTATTCTTGGGTCACTTCTACAGTCCCCTGCCAGATTTATTACTAGTTCGCTTATTGCTATTGTAACTAATGTTAAATCCACCAGTCAGTCAGAGGTGGATCAGCCAATTGATTTTAACACATCTGGAGTTTTTGGCTTTAACTCTAACTCTTTAACTCCATTTCTTCTGATTTTTTTAACTTATGACATCCACCTTTACTAGCATTGACACTTCTGTTAGCTCTCCTATGTGTGACCCAATCACTGGTCAGAAACCACCTGAGCAAACAATTATCCAATTGCTTTTGGTTCCCTGATAGGCCCCCTGACTATCCAATATCAGTAAACATACCTCTAAATAAAGCTGACATTCTGCCCTGACCTTTTCAAAAATTGGTTCCAAGACTAAGAATACTTACTTTGAAGTAAAGAAGTGGGTTTTAGAAAGAAAAATGAATGCTATCAATCCATGTCCAACATCATTATACTTCAGCAGAGGGCAACAATTCAAGAATAATGTTTCTCAATGTAAAATAGCAAAGAACTTTGGGATTTCATCATCTATGGTACACTATTAAAAGATTTAGAGAATCTGGAGGCCAAAAAAACAATATTGGCTGGCCATGATTTTTGGGCTCTCAGGTGGCACTGCATAAAAAACAGATATGATTCTGTAGGACAGGAACACTTCCAAAAAGCATTGTCTATGAATACAGCTCATTGCTAAATCCACAAATGCAATTCTACCATTCAAAGAAGAAACCATATATGAACAGGATCCAGAAATGCCACCGCCTTCTCTGGGCCCAAGCTCATTTAAGATGGACTGAGGTGAAGTGAAAAACTGTCCTGTGGTCAAGTGAATCAAAATTTGACTGCTCTGGACACTGTGTCCTCCGGGCTAAAGAATTCAAAAACTCAAAATGGGTATATTTTTCGAAAAACAATACAATTTCTCAGTTTCAACATTTGATATGCTGTCTTTGTACTGTTTTCAATCAAATATAGGGTTCAAATGATTTGCACATCATTGTATTCTATTTTATTTACATTTTGCACAGTGTCCCAACGTTTTTGGAAATGGGGTTATAATCAACCAACTTCAATACCTGATCTCACTAATGTTCTTGTGGCTGAAAACACTTTGCATCCTTACAGCAATATATCACCATCTAGCTTCCCAAAAGAGTAGAGGCTGTTATTGCAGCAAAGGAAAGAACTCCCTATTAGTTCCCCTTGATTTTGGAAATAGGGGACAAATAGTGTATGAGTACATTCTCTACCACAGCGATTCTTGATCCTGACCCAGAAGTAGCCCTGTCTTGCTCATTTGAATGTTTTCTCTGCTCCAACACACCCAGTTCACTAAAAATTCCTTTTCTGAGTTGACTTTGAGCAAAGGGGAAACCCTAAACTAAAACAGAAATGTTCTCATCTTCTCTTGTTTTACCAGCAGATGGCACCAAAGGAGATACCGTCAGAGCAAGCCTCAATAAAAATAATAATAACATAAAAAAAACCTTATCAGAGAGCTGCTTTCATTGTGTAGGAGCACACCTAACCATTACCTTCATCTCTTGACTGCAGACTGTGTAATTTTCATCAAACTGAAAGAGCTGCTGGTTCTAAATGTCTAAATGTATCTTGAAGCAACAGCCCTTTCAGTACAATAAAGGTACAATTGCTTTGTTTGCATTTATATACACACTTGAAAAAGATGGTTCTTGAAGGGTTCTTAAGTAAAGAAAACAGTTCTATATAGTACCATGAACACTCAAAGAACCCTTTGCATGATTAAAGGGTTCTTTGCATCATGAAAGAATTCTTCACACTGATGGAGAGTGTGCTGTATATGGTTCTATATAGAGCCTTTTTGAAAAGGTTTCTTCTATGGTTATAAGCTCAACATTGTAACAATAGCAGAACCCTTCATTAAAGACCCATCCAGTGACAGTTTGTTTTGGGAAATAAAAGTGGCTCTTCTGTTGCACTGCTCGAGAACACTTCATGGTTCGATTTAGCACCATTTTTATCAGTGTATAAAACTGATACAAAGAAAACAAACTTACATATTTCAGTGTGAAGTGACAGCAAATATCAAACCAACAAGGTCAAATGTATATTATCCAATAGGGGGTGCTGCTACCATATTAGCTCAAGATATCTTGTTCCTTAGAGGTAGCTGACTTGACTAAAACAGCCATCCATGATCAAGAATAATCACTGACTTAGGGTGGATATCAAATCATGTTTAGTTGGTTTTAACATTTATTATTAGTTTGACGTTACTTCTAAGTTCTTTTTATACTCCGTATTCTGAAATAAAGGGTTCCTACTGAAAAACAAAGGCTGTAAAAAATTAAATCAGAAGAAGGGTGGGCAGACAGGCACACACTTGACTTGTTAGGCAGGGCATAGGTTCTTTATTACTGAAAAGACAGAAGGACAAAAAGACTCTCAATCACTCACACACACATAGTGCAGAGCACCATGGCTGCTGTATTCTCTTTGAGACCCTCACAGAATGTTCTCACTGCAGCATAAAGCCTGATACAGGTCTGGATGTCTACAATGTGATTTGATTGAGAACACCAATCACCAACCATTAGCAGTTGGTCATCATTCAAATGTGACACAAAAACTGTGGATGCTTAAATGATAAAGCAATCTCAGTGACTGACTCTCAGACTAGCCAGTGTGGAACAATAGATCTGTGGGTGTCTCAGATGGGAAAAGTGCCTCAGAAGGTCAGTTAACAGTCAACTGAGACTGATCAGAAGGCACAAGACTCAGGTTGCTCACATTGCCAATGTGGTTCAATGCTCTCTTCATTACATCATTCGTATGGTCCAGGCAGCTTATATAATAATTCAACAACATTTAAGACTGACGGTAGTTCTTCTGCTAGCATTATGGTGAAAAAATATAGCATTGTTACATGATAACTATTTTTCACAATCTCTGCATAATTTAATCGTTGAGATATAATCAAGGTCATTTAGATTGTTTTGATGTAAAATGAGAAAGTCAACTTAGATTTCTTTAGGGACCAGGGGTTATGATGTCTAAAACACAACTATGGCTGGCTAGTTTATTTACTATCCACAATGACCGGTGAATCTACATGTCTTCTGAACTTATATTATTTATGTAATATGTATGAAACGATGAAATAGAAGTGTGTTTTCTTAGGATATTATTTTGTCTTAAAACACCCTGCATGTACCTTTCTGCCATGAATAGATAAAAAAAAAGTTTCAGGCCAAAAGCTTACCTTAAAACTTTAGTAAAACAATGCTTGTGGCATTATTCAGCGTATTTTTTAAAGCTATTCATGTAATAACTTCCTTTGAGGTAGTTTTCAAAGGCACTAAATGCTACGGACGTTTGGTTCTTATCACCACCACTGAAAAATTCTGACTCTGTAGGTTTCTTTAGAATGGAGCATTTCACATCAAACCACTCTGTATGACTTCGTTTACATCTTAGCAATGTAATCAGGCAAAATTCTGAAAAATCAGTGGAATTCTCATTTAAAAACCAAGTGCTGTATGTGATGGCCTTCATGTGCTCATCTGATACACCCATCCAGGCATAAGGCACAGGGAATACACATGCACACACACATTTGAAAGGCAAGCTTTCACAGAGAAGCATTTCAAGAACATTCTGCCCTAATCTCAACATAATAATTAACAATACAATAAGGAAACCCCTTACTAATAAAGGCAACAACAGAACAGAAGAGATGAGACTGAGACAGTTAGAGGGACAGTGGTCCGTCCAGGGGAGCTTAAAGGGAAAGGAGGACCTGCCTGATTAGGGGACAGAAAAGGCTAAGGTTTGGTCAAATCTACACAGCATTAGAGCATTTAAGGGTGAAGGCCTTTGCAGATGATGACATGTTAGGTGAACATTTGGAATATGATACATGATAATGCAACAGTAAGACTGATATATGTGCTTCATATGATTAGGACTGTGTTACATGGTAAATATTAAAATCTAATTAATTATGTACACAACCGTGAATAACATGATACTGGTGAACTTTTCCCAAACACACACACACACACACACACACAAACACGCACACAAAGTGCAAACTGTCGTAGGTTAGACAGTATAGGTACAGATTTGGTTTAAGATAAAACACACCCATGAATGCACACACATATACACCTGGCTGTGATGACATTTCTCTTCTACTCTGGATGTATATTATGTTTATATTAATGTTTTTATTTATTTTTAAAGAACAACTTGACAACAGTGGAGTTGTTTTTTATGTTTAGAAACCTTAAGGAATGCTGTAGAGTATTTCAAACTAACCCCATCTGCCGCATTTGCATCATACAGCTGATTGCCATGCACCATCACGTCAATATGTTTACCTGTACTTAGTAAACCATTTGATTGGAAACAAACTTACAGTAGAAACCAATGTCACTTCAGCACGTGCCCACTATTACCGGTCTATTATAATTTTTGTAAGCAACAAAAAGAAAAGTTACACAAAAATGTCAGACAGTCAACTGTATGCTACAGAGGAGACAGAGATTATATTGAAAAATGCTGAAGAGCTCCTTCAAAGCTTCACAGACACAGAATGCAGCTTCTCTCAATCTCAACACCTCACTCGTTAACTCTCTCATATATACATATTAGACACATGCTCCATTCTCTTGTTTCTATTGCACAAATTAACCCAAGAGACCCACAAGCAACTTAAACAGATATTCAAAACATTCCTTTCTCGCTCTGCAGGTCATCTTAATAAAAATATCCTGATAAAAGAGTAATACATATATATTACATACACAGAATGTGCCCATCAACTAAAAACAGAACACTTCAATATGGCTGACATTTGTGTAGTTCGTTCAGGGACTCCATGCAGGGAGTTGTAGTTTTTTTAAAGGCAGGGTGTGATTGTGTCTTCTGATTAAGCAGATGGCTTCTTCAGTCCATCCTCACTTAGTTCGTACCTACCACCGCACACCAAACACAATTAAACATACTGCAGTGGACACAGAAAAGGATGATTTTTAAGGTCTTTTAAAAAGTTTGCATTAAGAAACAAATCAATGCCTTACCACTGGGTCCAGCCCTTTGTTATGTCCTCTGAAGTCAAATCCACCAGAACCTGACACACACAGACACAATATGAGGAAAAAGAAGTCAACAGCCAGGTTTTTGTCCAGCAGTCGAATTAAATTCAAACAAATAACTGAAATGTTATCAAAAAAAAAAAAGAGAGTAATGCAGCATTTCCCATTAGCTCTGTACAAGAGAATTAAACTCTCTAGGTATACAGCATACTCTGATTTCTTAGATCAGAGGAAGGTCTAGAAATCCGATTAAGAAATCCGATAAAGAGAGCTGGATTTCAGCTCAATAATAGACTTCTGAGGGCATGTAAACTCTTACTCGGATTTCTTTCAGATTTCTCAGTCTGCGCATGTGTAAAAACCGGCAGAACTGAAAATAAGCAAGCAGCGGTTAACGCCGCACCCACAAAATGACAACAAAACACCTTGGGAGCGACAATGAAATCAACTACATGCTATTGTTATTGGATTATTAAGTGCATGTAAACGCACTTATTCGTATCACCCATTGATCCATTTGGGTTTAAGACAAATGTTTAATGTTAAGCAACTTCTTCCTATTTGGTTTAACTTTTTGCCTGTATTTTACATCATTAAGAGTACACAGACAAACGCACTGGCATCTTATAATACCATTTTTTCTTTGACAAGGTATGTTTTAATTTCTGCATCAGTAAACTGGTACCTGCTGCCTTCTGTCATGTTCATAGCTACGAATGGACACAAAGTCAGACAAGTTTTATTCGCCAAATGCGTTTTCATCATAATTTATCACATTGCTTTAATAACATAGGTTGGAAAAAAGTTAAACTGCCCAAGCAGGACTTTTTTCTCTCCATGGTATCTAGGTAAATATAGCTAAGCAAACTCTCCAATTAATTAAGACTGCAAGAGCTGGAGAGAAGTCCTAATATGTTAGATTAACTATCAGCATAAATATGAAGCGACAAAGAAAGCAACCTATCAGTTCTTTTCCAATGGGGGCAACTAATTTTGCGAGAAACAAACGTCACTTTAAGCCTAAACAGGACACTGAATATAAGCAGCAGCTTAAGCAATGGGGTATTAGAAACGGAAAACAGCAGCGGCAGCTCTATACCTGAGCTCACTACTGAACGACAATGAAACTGCTACAAGATAAACTATATGCGAATATGTCTGTCACAAGCTTCAAATAAAACAGGTAACATTTTTTAGAAACTTCAAATGTCTGTGTTTAATCTATAATTGACTTTTTTGAAATTTTCATTATACCTTAAATGGTGCAACAGTTACACTTTGATACCTAAATGCGGCAGAATGTAACTGATTTCCGGTAGAAAGGAAAACCCAGTACAAGTACTTCCATATGAAAAACACTAAAAAATGCCTTCTTTACGAGATTCTTTCTCTACCTTGCCCAGAAGACCTTTGTGTTTGGAGAGAATTCCTCCTCCGTTCTTGACTGCTACATCCAGAGTCCTCCTGTGCAACTCCACCAGTGACACAGTGAATTCAAATCTACACCCACAGAGACAGAAAGTCACATCACTCAACACTGAGAAGTGTAATTTTAGTTAGTTTAGTTCATTTTTCACACTGGGGCTTATTTTAGTAAGCATCACCAAAGCTAGAAACTATAGGATGAGGAAAAACCAAAGATGGGAGGAGAGAGCAGACTAACGATTCGTCAAAGGTTGGATTGAGCTTTTTCTTCATTGTGTGGGTTTTTCTGCGTCCAGATCGTCGTTTATCCGGGAGCAAGTACAAACGCACGTATGGGTCAGAGCCACTGTCTGTGAATGCTATCAGATTCCTGCAGACACATAAACGCAGACAGGTAATATATACTGCATACCAAACATGTCCAGCCGTGACCCTGGCCATACCACCCTACAGAGTTTAGTTACAGCCTTAATCTAACACACTTGGCTCTAATTTTCCCATGATCCTGAAGGACTTGCTCCTCGAGCTTTACTAAAGATCAGAACCAAAAAGATACGCAAATAAATTATGTGTGTTTGTGGGTGCGTGAGTGCACACACGTTGTGTGCGTGAGACTATGTAAGGATTTCTGTACCTGTGTAGATTACTTTGTATGTATAACAAATAATAATAATAATAATAATAATAATAATAATAATAATATTAACAACAACAAGCAACATTAAATACACATATACACATTTTTTATCATTTTAAAGAGTCGTTTACAAGGTTAATTTATTTATGTTAAGTTTGTTATAAAATATAAATCACTACATTTTCTTCTCATCATTTCCAGTGCTGAAGCTTCATGTACTTTATTTT